CTTAATTTACTTTACAAAAGGAATGCCGCGTATTTGAAGGAAAATAAAACTGAGTAGGAATGTTGATAAATTCCATAAGATGCAGTAAAGAATATAATTAAGTTATTTCTTTCAAGGTACTACAAGGTAGGGCTTCAATTATGCATGAGTTTATTCTATTTTATAAAACATCATTGAAAGAATTGTGGAAGAAAAGTTTTAGTTTTACTAGCTGTGACTGTGAAATCACGTGGAGCTCTCTGCTGTTGATACATTAGGAGTTTACTAAAGCTATAAATAGATGATTAAATTGATTTAAGTTCATAAATGTCAATAAAAACTTTAATTAATGGAACTTTGTATAAAAATGTGTGCTTTTTTGATCTTTGAGAACGTTAACAAAGGAAAGGGGTAGGAAACTACGATCGTATAGCTTTGCATTATTTGAAAACATTTAAATAATTGCAAATTGATCTTTAAACCTCGACAGAATCTAGAATTTTCTTAAAAACTCAATTTTGATCTTAATAGAATCCTGTTACTGTTCTAACCATTTAATTCAAGGCTACAGAACTCTTAAGATTCTATGGCTTAATACCAAACCAATTGTATATTTATTATAACATATGTGCAACTCTCAAATCCATCAAAATCAATCACTTTAGATGTAAAACCTTTCATAAACACTGTTTGAGTTTAAATTCGTTCCACTTATTTACTAAATGATCCGCAAAAAACTTTAAAATTGGCGATCTTAAAGAAACCGTTTAGAGACATTACTCAAAAACATTTCCCCCAAGTCATTCATCGTGAGGAATTCAATCAACTATCCAGCTCCAACGTGTATTATTATCTGAGAAACAAAAAGCATCGATTAAAGTGTATTCAACCACAGGTTTTCATTAGCAATTTACACTAATGTGAAGTTTTTTCATCTCTCTTGCAATTTTAGCTGCTTTACTTCTAAAAATATAATTCATAATTTTTTTTTGAGGTCATATTTCTGATCTTGAGAAATAATCATAATCGAGCAAGTGAGCAGGCATGCAGGTAGGCTATACAATCTGATATTGAAATAATATTTACTATGTTACAGATAATGTGGTGTGAATAGTCGAAGAGGAAGTGCTTTCAATCATCAGTAAACAATAGAGCTTTAAATTACATTTAAATATTATAATATTGTGTACCTATATAGACTATAAAAATAGTCATTAAGGTTAATACCTGATAAGAATGTCAACAATACTTTCTCATGAGGGTAGAATCAGTAGCGTTTACCTAGATATCTGGGTCATTTACAGATTATAAGCTATTCAAAAGATAACATCTGGTCAAGACTATGCCTAGGTTTTATTCTGTTCCTAGGATTAGGTCTTAGTCAAATAGTATCTTTATCTGAAGTATCTTGATATCGTTGCTCAATGAGATCAATTGATACTGGCCATATAGATAATCCCTAAGATGGGATAACCCATGTCTGGACCAATATCTAGAATTTCTATAAGATCTTACATTTGAGACCAAATTTTTTTTTTTTTTTTTTTTTTTTTTTTTTTTTTTTTTTAAATTGTGAACTAAAGTCTGAGTTTCTGAGCTTCAACAATGCTAATCGTGATAAGATGATTTCTTGTATAAGAAATGGTCATCTCAGGCATATTTTGGTCCAAAGCTAGGTTTTCAAGGCTGTTCAGATGCTAGTTTCTCGGAATATAGCTACCCCTACCTTAATACACCTTTAAGTACGCCACTAAACTAATTGTGGATGAATGCATTACGTAGAGATAGGGATAGAAGCATCGTAGTATCAATTTTTAAAAAGAATGGACATGTCTATGTCATAGCTGTCCTAAGCTATGTTTTATATGAACCAAGCGAACAACCAAACAATAGCCATCATGTAAAAAAGTCAGCCCACGAGTTTTTCAAACCACACAAACAAATCAAGTTAGAAAAAGTTCAAATTGACCTCTAAAGTTTGTTATTGATAACAAGCTACACTTTCTGTGTAGTAAATATTCTGAGAGGTTTTTTCCTTATCTACACATTATTAAATTTACTACAAGTGAAATTTGCCTAATGCTTATATAAATGCACGTGCACGATGACTAAACTTCCTTCATATGATGATTTATTATATATTGAAATTTTTGCGCATTTTAAAAAGCTGATGTGCAGTTTTGTGCTTATTGCATGAATTTCAATTTTTTGTCGTTTGAATTAAAATCAATTGAAATATAATTTTTATGGGAATTTTATTGTAGAAATTGCTGAGATAGGTAGTCAAGTTAAGCAATAAATAGTCAGTTAAGGGGTCCATTAAAAATTAGATTTTCAAATCTTTTCTCTTAAATTAAGGAGATAGCTAGTCTGTAATTGAATAATTTAAAAAATTGATGTAATCGAATATGATAAAGATAATGAAATTTTGTGACACACAATAAGGCGATAAATAATTTGTTTTGACTCTGTTAGGTTGTTTAAAGATATTTGAAACTTATGAACTTTATGAAATTCTGAGAATTATTGACATTGGTTGTCACTTAAAATAAATTTAATAAATGCTTATGATTCTATGAAGTATTACGACTATAACATTGACATTTCAAATTAGAACTTATTACAAACTATAATTTATACTTTTTAAGACCCACTCCTCCACTGTATTAAGTGCCTCTGTCACTTAATAAGTGAATAACCTTTAAAAACTCATTCATTTTTAAATGTTCTAAGTTCTTTTGGAATTGGTAAACAAATTAAAATTAAAAATAGAACAAGGTGTGATTGATAAGATAACAAAGAGAATGTTAAGAATTTTTAACAAAGAAATAAGAAATAAACCAAAAATCAATCTTTTTCCAATAATCTGAATATCATAAAACTTACTTGAATCTGAAGTTTATGGTGATGTAGAATCAAGCTTCCAATCTTCAAATCTAAGTTTCGATTAAATTAAGGCTCTCGTTGCATTCTTCTGTGTGCGTGACGTGATACATTTCAATTCCGTTCTGACAATATTCCATTTATAAGGTAATCTTGTAGTTCTTGTTCCTATTTCTCTCGCTACACTTCAAGTTCCTGATCCTTTCCTTAATCCAACGTTGCCCAAATGCCCAATTAAAGCTTGATCTCGTACATTAAGCAGTCAAAGTATCTAAACTTCTGAAAAAAGAACGAATTTGGAAATGAATGGATTCGAACCGACAACCTTCAAGTCAAGATACCAAATTTGAGTCAAGCGCTTTACCTATTTGACAAACAAGACACTTAAACTTAGGCCAAGAATGCAGATCTGGTCAAAACTGATCAAAATATGATTTTTAAGTTCCTTAACTTATGCCCTAATTTCAAATCATTCTCAAAACTATTACTTCAATACCAAAACTTCACGGATAACTTAGCAATTTCTAGTATTTATTATTCATTCATTTAGCATCACGTTGCAAAGTTGCACCTTAACAAAATCTTCAAAGTTTGCAATTTTGTATTAAAAATTGTTTTCATTGTAACTCCATTTCACATTATTTTGCATCCGATAACTATTGATTTTCTTACTTGATTCTCTTAACGAGTTAAATATCGTAGCGAATTTTGCGCGAGTTGAGAATCGCGGAAATCGATATAATCTAAATGCCTATCAGCGCATGAAAAAAATAGATGCAAAATTATTATTTCTAAATATATATAAAATATATATATTTTTTTGATGAAGGCCAAATTTATTTGTTTGTAAAATCACCTTAAAATATTGGAAATAAATAATTCGATTCCGCTTTAAAAATCAATTAGATTCGTTTCAAATATAAACTTTTTATATTATTGTATTTTTTATTTGTTCTTTACTTCTGTAATTAAGATTCGCATGAGAAACTCATTTAAAAGACCTCAATTTAATAACTTTAAAATAATACCGACAATTAAAATACGTATTACTAAATTCCCTGAAAAACAAATTCCGTACACACAAAGATCTCTCGCCTCTTTTTTTACCTCAAGACATAAATCGATTACTCACAAAATTCCGCAAACAAAAAAAAAAGAATTTTTTCAGTATGATTCATTCCAATGTTTTTATTTCTCTTTCAATGCTTCACACTCAATCAGCAGCATAAAAAAAAGATGGTGATGATGATGAAGAAAACTGGCATAGAAGTCGCCGCGATAATGCTTAAGTAAGCAACTGAAGCGCATCTTTTACGAGATTTATCAATTAATGGCTGAGGGGGGGGGGGGGGGGGGGGGGTACTTTGAGAATCAAGCGCCGTTCTAGGAACTAATCAATAGAACAACTTTTGGAGGTAAACATGTGAATTCGGAGTGCTAGCATGACAGTTAAAATGTCAAAGTTTAAAGATTTTTCATGAGTATTGACTCTGATTCCAGCTTATATTGATAAAATGAGTTTATTTTGACAGTTTTTAATGCCACGATGATTGAAGCTACTACATTAACGACAGTTTTGTTAAAAGCCTAGTTTAAGAAGTTGATAGCTCCGCTTTGATGACTTAAAAATGAACAAGCTGTCGTATTGAGTATCGAACCTAAAACTGCTAAGTCATATTTTAATTTATAGATACTAATACACTAGACCACAGTGCCAAATTACTTCACTAGGTGAGTTTCAACATAAAACGCTACATAAACTTGAACAAAACCTTAAATATAATTTTGTAGAAGCATCAAGCCCTAAGTATGATCATTAAACAATTAAAAAAATCATTAAAAAGAAAGTGAATTCAGGAAGGAATTTCGAGAGGATTAAAAAATATTTTTATTGCTGCAATTTCCTCATGCAGGTACAACTTGCAGGTACAAAAACAAAAAAAATAATTTTTTTATCAACCCTTTCACTTTATTTTCAGCCATAACCTGTATTAATGCATTCCACAACATAAGCAATAAATCATGCTTCAAAAAATTTAAAAGAATTTTTCCTCAAAAAAAACACACCACATTTGTAAATAAAATCTCACGGTAGATGATTGTCATTAACCTGTTACAGCATTATACCAAACAATCATTGATCGGCGAAGCATGAAAAAAGTCATAAATGGTGTGAGTGTTCAAATACCATCAAAAAAATATCTTCTCTGCTTTTTGCTGTACATACAGCTCAATACATACGAAACACAGTGGAACATGGAAAAAATAAAACGAAACATCTAAGCAGAGTTAGTTTCATTTGAGTTTTTGAACGAAGCAGACCGTCTATTTGAATTATTTCCCAACGACTTTATGAACAAATTCGTTTGTCTTACTATTATAATGATATGTTATAATTAATGCAAACAAATAAAAAAGGAGGAAAAAAAATTATCGTGCGATGATAAATTTTATTTAAGTGACTTTAAAATATTCGAAAATATTTTTTAAAACTTGTGCAAGGTGAATTCTTAAGAAGTAACATTTTTTTTTGGATATTATTAATGTGTGTCTAGTGAAAGAGAGTTAAAAGGAACCAGAAAAGAATAACAAAAATTATTTAAAAATTGGAATAGTTTTGAAAAAATATTAAAAATTGAAAAACAAGTGCAAAAATTTTGTGTTTTTAGTGAAATTAAAATTTTTTTAAAATTCATTGAAAGTGGAAATAAATTTTTTTTGTTTTGTCGAAAAAAGATAGTAAAAACTTTTACGGCATAGCGGTGCAAATACAATAAAAAAAATTGTAAAAAAAAGAAGAAAAGAAAAAAGAAAATAAAAACATACAAATCGAATTAAAAAATATAAATTGTTTATCGTTTGCTGCGCCCAAGAATTGTATTGTAATTAAGAGTGCAATAGCACGAGTTTTCTTATTAAAAAAGGTAAGTGCAATTAAAATTCCTAGATGTCCTTCGATTATCTTCGATGTACTGAATTCAATGCAATATTAATGTACGATTGGCTCTTATTTTCACTTGTTGCTCTTTTAATGATATTTTTACATTCTTGAGTATCGGTACAGCCGGGAATGGACACTCAAAAATATTTTAACCTCTTATGTGTGTTTTGATAAAATAAAATTTTCAAAATTTCATAAATTAATTTTAACGACTTTTAAAATTTTAAACTTTTCGTCCAAGATTTTGCTCCACTTGAAAAAGTTTTTTGCCATATAAAGCTATTTAACTACGATTAAATTTGGATATTTTAATCAGCTCCTGTACAAAAAAGCAGCACAAGATAGATAGAAGTCAGAAAAATTGAAGAAACGTCCACAAAAACTTAAATTAAGTAAAATAGTTTGCAGTTTAAAGTTAAACATTCTTCAAACAAAGTATCCAACCCTAGATAATATCTATTAACAGTCAGAACAGAACAATGATCAAAGTTATGTTCAATTTCTGCGATTTAATCTTTTCCAATGTCAATGAAGTTAATGCAATTGGAGGTCGAAAGATTATTACGATAGTTCATGGACAGCAATTTAAATGCTTTATATTTTTTTGCTTAACTGATAACAATTGCATTACCTAAAGAATGTCTGCCTTCAATTCTATTTATTTTTGTGCATGTACAAATCAAAGTGGAAGTCAATATAATGGGATGGAATGTAATATGTGGATATAGGTAGAAAATAAGCAGAGATAATTGAGTAACTGGACGGAATGGAAGAACTCTTTGGAGAGCTAAATAGTAAAAAAAAAGCTTAATTAAAGATTTAAAAATTACGATTGCATTGTTGTATTGAAACTTATGTTTAGGCATGTTTGGGATGAGAATGGATAGAAAGCAAGCAAATGTTTTTTTCGAGATAATTTTAATAAGAATTGATTCTAAAATAAATTGGATGCATGACTTGATAGCAACATACTTTAGGGATTGTTCTGTAGACGCACTACATACAGACTAGACCGGTTAAATCTGAGCAGGAATCAATGTTGATTTTAAAACATTTTACATTCACTGTTCCACAGACCACAGGCATTTCTATTTTGCAGCCGTAACCCCAAAGAAAAAAAAATTAAATTCATTTCAATAATAATAAGAAATCCGAAAGGGAAGTTGCGTAACTTAAACTGCAGAAACAAAGTTCGCAAGCTTGTTTGTCAGTTTTGTTGTTTATGCCACAAAAAGAAATTCGATAAATTAGAGTGTGTACATATTAGATATTAATATTATGTATAAATTTTAATCCGTTAATCCAACATATAAAAAAATATTATTAAGTAATGAAAATCGACTGACTAAGCTCCATGCAATATTTTTTTCGTTGCTGAAAAATTCGCTCATTATGTTAATCGTCAGTGCTGTCGAGCAACTTTATTACTACTTGCTCATTTCTTTTTGGTTCGTGTTTATTCAATGGAAATTCCTTTTCGAAAACTTTCTACTTGATCACGTTGCTTGATGCAATGCGCTTACAATCAAACTTTACTTTTTGGTGCCTGATTTGCAGTTTTTTTACATTTTTCTGCGTCTCGATTAAGTAATTTAATTAAATAATTTATCATTTGACAAGGCATGAACAAGCTAAAAAGAGGAGGAAGCTAAGCTTAATTTTCATTTCTTTTTATGTCGCTAAGTCAATAGGTCAAATGTAAATTTATTCAAAGCGTTCGCATTCACATGATAAGATGCTTAATGCTGTACATACAGCATAGTTTCATCTTTCTCACTTCCACTTAACTTTTGCCTTCTTTCCATTCATTCTCATTCACTTCACTTGTGTGCATTTTGATGAACAAAATAAAAAAAAAAGAGTCTTTCAAGATAATTTGAATTTACACGCAATGCTGCTGCATGGATTTTGTTCTCAATTTCCTTTTCATTGTTTGTTGTCGGTGAATCTTTCTAGAACATAGTTCCATGTTAGTCTAATTCAATTAAGTTGCTGGGTCAAATTGTTGACTCTCGCAGTCACCTCAAATTAAATTAATTAATCCATTGACTGAATCATCATTTAGATATTTTTGTGTCGTTCTGGACACGTTGTTCTATTTCTTAATATCTTCAATGCCATTTTGAGTACTTTCCTCAATTCTGAATTCCTGCAATGTCATTTTACAATGAAAAAAAGCTTTTCTGATAAGATTCTTATTGACTTTGTAGATATAAAGGCACGAGTAAACAAAAACATCCAAATATCTTGTCAATAAAACGGTCAAAAGAAGCACAATGCGAGAAAAACAAATATTTTGATACAAAATGATAAGATAAGGCACAAACTGCAATCAATTAAGTTCCCATAAATGTCCAAAAAGATAAAAATTTCATCCATTCTTGTTCCTTATCACTTTTTAATTTTTCCTTTATTCCGTGGCATATTGACATGTGCTGAATGATAAAATGGAATGAGTTTTGAGAAAACCAAACAATTGAAAACTTTATGTCAGGCACAGAATAAAGAAAAAGGGTTGAAAAACTTTTAAGAGGTCTCAAAATAGCTGCGAAAATTTCTATTATATCCCCAAAAAATCTTGATTTTATGACATTAACATTCACATTGAACAACTTAGTCGACTATTGTCACGCAGAAATTAATTTTTGTGCGAGTTAATTCCACTTTTATGAGTTAATAAAATAAAAAATAAAGAAAATTGGATTTTTCTTTTGATAAGGCAAAAAAAAAGGTGGAAAAATATTTAATAGAAATAAGAAGAAGCTGGCACAAAAGAGCGTTAAACAGACATGATATCAAGATTTTAATTAATTTTCTTATTTGCTTATGTGAATAGCAGGTAGTATGATGATATCTAGGCAATTCTAGATCAACTTTCATTTTTCTTCTGCTGATTCGAGTGTTTTTTGTGTCAAAGTTGATGGAATGAGGGAAGGTAGAAATAGACGAGTTTATTGCTTGTGGTTGGGGTGAATTATGGAAATTTCAATAATGTTGGAATCTCATTTACATTTTTATGCCATCAAAAAACCTCAAATTGATCCCCAACCCTGCTTCAATATTCATTAAGGTGAAATAGAAATGAAGACTCTGAGGATAAAGCTCAAAAGCGCATTTGGCAATGAAGTTGCCACTTTTAGAGATTCAAATCTTTGTATGAAATTCAGACTGACAAACTAAAGTCTTCAACACCTTTTTGTCTGTTAGATAATGATCTAAAAAATATTGTACGTGCCAGAATGAATATAAATTCTGCAACGTGATTAAAAAAAATATCTGCGAAGTTCATTAATAAAAATAAACTTTAAGCTATGCTTGTGCTGATAACATTGACTCCATTTAATACCTTTGACGTACATTTTTTGTGCCTCGTTTTTCTTTCGAGATTGTAATTAAGGGGCTTGTGCTTATGACGAAAATTAATTAAGACTGTTTACATAAAAGGTATGGGAATAGCTGGAGATTCTCAATGTCTTTAATAATTCAAAAGTCCCAACGACCCCCCTAATACTCATGAATCTAAAGTGCCTGCTTGTCACCTTCCTGAAGCTCTTTCACTTCCGTTGCAATCATTTACTTAAATGGCTGTTTCATATGCTGCATAAACAATTGTTTATGGATACAATAAAACTCACGTGATGACTCAATGACTGAAGGAAATCCCTACATTTACAAAAGAGCTATTGTTTCAGTATAATTTATGCATCAGCATATTTTATGATAGTGCCATGCTTGAATGCAGAGATTCAATAGATTCATTGCTCACTTGATGCAGCAAAATAATAAGAACGATGGGTGATGTTGATGATGATGATGATGGAATATATAAACGAGTATAGTGTTGCATTGTTATTAAGAGTGAAACTTATTTTTTTTGCAAATAAATAAACATACAAAGTGAATCAGGTTAAAAGCACATACACACAATTTCATGTGACGTCAGTCGATTTATCTCGTTGTGTTTATCTCTTCTAATTAATGCTGAATAAAAAAAACGAGAAAAAAAATTATTTAAAACAGCTGTTATCTGGTTTGCCGACACTACTGCTGCACATTGTATTTGTTTATTGTTTTTTTTTTTATTATTGTACTATTTTATTGTGTGAAAGAGCTTAATATGTAGATCGAAGTCAATTTGGGGGTAACAGTCAATTGAAATTTATGAATATCAATTAAGCTTGTGGAAATTTTTTGAGGATGAAATTTTGCACGTAGCTATGTAGGATGAACTGTAATATTGTTCTTATTTTTGGTGACTGATTGTTCACGGGCAGTGAACTGCTTCGGTAGACTCTGGAAAGTAATTAAATGCGGCGAAATAATAAATGATTGGCTGTGTGGGCGCTGTCATAACAATTTGGCAAGGAGATGAAGATTAATCAGAAAAGTAATTTTGGTTGTGGATGAATCTTTCGTTTGAGTTGTTGTCTTTAGAGATTCATGCATTTTTGGGTTTTAAAAATAGTCGGCGAATGACCTGAGCTGCTCATATTGAAGTAGATTCAGTTTAGAACAGACATTGATGTAGATATTGCGTGGTAGAGCTTGAAAACTGGGCTTATTTGTATAAGACAGATAGCTAATTCTAGGCAAGTACCTTGGTAGTCTAGTGGCAAAGATCTCAAACTAAGTGGTTATAGATCACCACTTTTGAAGGCACAGGTTCGATTCTTATCAGACTTGACTTAATTTACATTAGCTATATATACCAAGATAAATCAGTATCTGCACAAACACAGCTTCTGTAGACTAAATGTAATAAACTTTACTCCAATTCCCTTAATTGAATTTAAACACTGCCCTACAAATTGCATATTCATCACAATCAAGTTTAAATAATTCAATAAAAAGTTCGCATTTCTCACCCAATGCAGAACAATTTCCTTACTCGTCTGTGAAAGAATCAAGCAAACGTTAATCACGCGTCTCAAAATAATATAATAAACATCAATAAATCATTTCCACGATAGCAGTCAAAGATCTTGATTCTCACTCTCTCCTCCTTTAAAAAAGATGAATATTAATGATTTGTACTGGCGACAACATCAATAAAGTCACTGCGTTGTTTCATTCCAGCAACCTTGCTTGAGTTAAGTATGAAAATGTCAATTATGAAGCGCCATTCTATCTGCTTCCGATTTATTATGGTAGACAATAATTGATATTAAGATTAGAAATCTCATCGTAATTCAATGTCAATGCTTAATATTTGGTGTGCATGAAGACGATTAAAAAACTTGTTTTATTTTTTGAGGATATAGAAAAAAATTCCAAGACACGAAAAGGTTGAAAATGTGAGATTTGCAAAGAAGTAAGACTTGATAAAATACCTGAAAAAAAATGATAGAAGTTCAAACATGCACGTGCTGTTGCCAGATTTGATCATATTTATTCGCTCACTAACAAGCATGGCGGTTATATGAAAGTCGTTGACAATATTGAACACATACAAGGCACTAATTAATGAAATAAACTCGCAAATTCTTAATTCTCTCGCTTGCCTCGCATCGACGATTCTTTAAACTTTTTTTTTCCTTTGCACTTCTTCTTACTCGCATTGTATGGAGGGAAATCAAAAAGGTTAATTACTACAGTTGAGATCTCATTTTTCCCCTTGATTTTCACGCAATGTGGTTTGTGCTTAACATTTATTGATGATTACTGTCAAGTTGGATTCCTGTTTTCATAAACAATTTTATTTATGGCTTTGCTGTTATCCTGGAGGTTTAGGTTTGCTAGACAGTAGTATGTTATGGTAAAGGGATGGAAGGGTGAGATTTAAGAACTGCAATTTAAGTAACTTTGGTGTCAGCATCTGTTTAGTGTCTAGTCGAGACTTGCTAGCACTTTTAATGATATAGAATCTAAAAGTGCTAGAGCTGTCTACTTCTTGGTTAGTTCTAGATGATGTCCATCCTTTTTTTAAGACTAGGGTTCGGTCTAAGGAGTTACCTGAAGTATCCTACATTATAACTGAGAATTGATTACCTACTCTTAAGGTTTGGTCAATATAAGTTGAATTTGGCTTGAGAAGTCCTAGAAACCAGCTTCAAATGATCTAGCAAGTCAACAACAACATGATTAACCATGAACATGATCAATTTAAGTACCGATACACAATGCTATTCCTTGAGAAGCTCTCTCAGAAGCTATAAGCAAATATTCGATATCAAAATTGAATTGTTCAACACAGAGTTGCGAAACATGTCGCCTGTAACAGGTACAGGCACAGATCTGTTATATCTGTGAGCAGATTTGACAGATCTGTGCATGTGGCAGGCAAAAAAAAATATTTCTTGGCGCTGCATGTGACAGATTGCAACTCTGGTTCAACATAAAAATTTATTGATTTCAATTTTTTTTTTCATGAACAATAAAAAATATTTTAAGTGCTAATTAATGAAAAAAAATAAATCCATTAATATAGCACAACTACACATTACTTGAAATAATTATGAAGTATAAAGTACAAAACTATTCAATGAAAATCCTTGTATGATCGGCTTGATGAATAAGAGATAAATTAAATTTATAAAATTTATTCAAAGTCCCCATAAACCTCCATTCACACTCGCATACTGCAAATAATTTATGAATAAAATCTTATTACCATCCAATTGGATGTGCTATTCAATCCTAAGGCAAGACAAGAAAAATAAAAATGCCATCGCAATGCGTGCAAATGAACAAGAGACGAGAGATGTAAAGTGGGTGAAGGTTAAAGACATTAAACATCCATTTTAAGGCACTGTACTACAATTCTCTACGATCAGCATATAGCATAGTGTGCAACCTCCCATAAACACATAAGAAAAACAATCATCGCCGGTGATTGTAAGGCTGATTGATGCCATCGAAAATCACCTGTTGTTGTGTCAAGAAGAAGTTGTTGTTTCTTTGCCTTTTGTTTCTGATTGTCTTGAATTGTTAAGTAATTCTCGTCATTGACGCCTACGTGGAACAATATACTGAATTCAAAATCAATAAAATTATTCGATAATATTTTTATAACAGCGAAACAGAATTTCAAGTTTTGCGAGGAATTTTGACACAAAAGTGAAATCTTGACAGGCATTTTGTCAGATATGATTTTTATTGGATATATTTTTTTGAAAGTTTCTTTGTGTAAGCTTGATTGAATTATTATTTAATGAAGATATGGATGAAGAAGAAGAAAAATTGACCGAATGATTTCAACTTTGATTGCGGACTAGATGTTCTTCCTATTTTTATGCCAACTTATTCAACCTAGCTCAACTTTATGTCTTCGTAGCTTCACAGGAACATAGTTGTACCATTTCAAAGCCCTAATCAGTGATTCTCAAACTTTTTCGGTAAATTTGCTATGGTGCCGCGGCACATAGTTTGAGAACCACTGCCCCAACTAGTGCCCTACACCCAAAAGCTAAGAATTACTTCAATGTGCTTCTCAGGAATGGATCAAGCCTTCAAATTTTCTCCACAGGCTTACATATTCATTCATAGATTTGAGAATTAATCAACATGATGCAATGATGTATTTCAGCCTTCAAAATACCTTAAGTGAAGAATTAGCATTTCTTTGAAGCTGTATGTCACACACTGTAATGCATAGTCGTCGTGTCTTGAGCATTAGCATTAAAATATAACTCAAAGTCATGAAGCACATCTGAATAGACCAAGAATAGACAGAATCGGAAGAAAATGTTGTCGATGAGGGGAGAGGGGTTATGGAAAAGCATTAATTGATATGTTATGTAGTAGCTACATCTTAGTAGGTGCATCCTATAAATGCGCTTACCATGTTCCCAGGCACACCTTCTTACTCATTTCCCTTTTTTCCACAACATTTTTTAATTTTTTACTTGTTTTCATGTCGCCCACACTCAAAAAAAAAATCTCAAAAGATCAATAACATTTTTCGCATTTGGAATTTGACATTGCTAACTGCTACGCACAAACATTTAGAGATGAAAGAATTGATTGCTTGAACACATTCATGAATTTCTGTTTTGGGGTTAATGTAAAGTTATAAATAAAAATAAACAAATTGGGGGCTAGGCAATCGGCATTTAGAATTTAATAATAATAATAATAAGTAGTTTAGGTTCTTATTTGATGAATCTGAATCATTGACTTCCTACAATCATATTTATTATTATTATATTTTTTTTTTCTAGAGTTCATTAGGAATATATTATGTAAAATATATATTTTATTCCATAGAAAAAGAAAAGAACTGATTATCTCATACTGCTGATTGATGCGCACAGCTATCATCTAACTTTATTCTATATATAACATGTTTTTGTTGACTGATAGCACAATGAAGAAATTATTGACTATATAAATATAATGTTCCCAACAAATAGAATTGATGATGCAATTGAATGGAAATTCATGAGGCATTTATAGTTAAATGATTATTACCCCGGCCTGATGCTTTCATAAGGGGGCTTGTTAGCAAGTGATGTCTACTATAGAAGCCACTCCATAATTTTTTCTTAACTTAACACCTAGCTAAGGTCATTAAGAACTCAATTTTTTTTAAAACGTAACATGCGTACGACCCCCAAAAGAGAAGACTGCAAACAAAAATGTATAAAAAGAGTCACGCAAATAAGGTCAGACTTGATATTGTGGCACACCCAAGATGGAGAAAAGCTTTTATTCATTGTATGTTTATAAATTTTTTCCCTGGCATCGTTTGTGCACTGGCTGTGCCAGCTCTGCATGCATGTACGGATGATGCATCAAGTGAAGGGGGTAATTGATGTCATGATGATAATGGTAAATGATTGGTTATTTGGTGACCGAGTTTCTGAAGTAAAAATTGTCGATGGAAAAATTACTTAATTGCGTAAAGCGATAGCATTTAATGGACATTTTATTTTGCAAATTCTCTTGGGAAATATTTTCATTTTGTCTACTCAATTTTGCTGTCTATTCAGCTGTCTATAGCATAAATTGACTTATATTTTTTTTGAGCCTTAGAAACAAGAATTTCAGTGCACACCAAAAATAGCCAAACTGGTATTTTGCACGGAAATATCATGACATTTTAAAGAACTAATCAGGTGATGTTCATCCGTTAAATCTATAATCGTAGGTTTACTTCTGTCTGATATTAATTAATACTATTTTTTGGTGAATTTAAAGTAGCTGATGACTATTTTGACCAATTTTGACATTGTTGATTGAAAATTGGAGCTAAATGAGGAAATCTAAATTTTTTGATGGGTAAATCCAATGACTCTAGCCGTTACCGATTCATATTTTTGAAAATAACGGTCGTTGAAAATTCAAAATTTTCGAAATCTTCAAAACATTACAAATTATATTCTAAGGTTTTCAAAAATTTGAATTTTTAACGATCGTTATTTTCAAAAATTTAAATTTTTCATTTTAAAAATGCGCCAAATTTAAATTCCATCATCACAACTCCAACTTATTCTCATGCTATCCACACAAAATTACGAAAAAAAAACGAATGGCTTTTATCAATGTCAGGTAAATTGCTAGTAGAAAACTATCTCGCCAACGGAACTATTTAACGTATTTAACATGAAATTAAATTTTTACACACGTTAGAAATTTATACGTAATGTCAACGCGTGCCGCCTCTGTCGTACTCAATGTCAATTTCCTCGAAACTATTTTCTAAATAGCTTTTGCAAATAGAAAACCATAAAAAATTGTTAATTAAATTTGAAAAATCATTGTCTCGTGAGTTTCAATGCCTAAAACAATGCTTTCAACTTTAACCTAATTTTCCGGCAATGCTAATGGTTGTAAAGAGATAGCAGTAACATAAAAAAGAACAGATTTTTTTTATATAATGAACAGATTCACGTCCGGAATTTTTAATTTCTTTTATGTTTGTTTATCTGAGTGAAATAAATGCACAGAGAGCATTTTGAAATCCAGACACAGACACAGATGACTGTTCCAATTATGAGGAACAGAAGGAAGCAGAATCATCATTTTCTTTCTGACAAGATAAAACCTGGCTAATTATGTGGATGATCGTTCATAAATGAGGTGAAGTTTGAGGTTGTTTTTGGTTTTAAGGTGGTCTGTGGGCTTGTTTAGGAACTACTGAGCCTGTTAATAGTCATATACGTATATTGAAGATTAAATGGAGTCTATTAGATTCAAATAATGTCAAAAAAAGTTCAAATTATGCTCATTGGATTCAAATAGAGCTCGACAAAGTTCTTTTAGTGTCCATAAGAGTTCATACATCTCCAAACCCCTTTAACAGTGCTAGTCATCATCAACAACCGACCCCCAAACTTAAAATAAGAAGCACAAAACTTTTACACTTCTGAGAATTTGTTTCTCATTTTCTTTCCATCTCTTCAATCAAAATGTTTGGTGCTGCACGAAACTTCACTATAATTACACATTTATTTATTGCTTTTATTTTACAATTTCTGCTTGTCTGATGAAGTAAAATGATTGGTTATTTTTTTTTTTTTGGGAGATGTTCTGTTGGAATTAATAGGAACAACATATATGAAATGAAATTCGTGATGTAGTAATAATATTTGATGGCTTAAGGATGATATGCGATTACATGATTGAGATGCGATTTGTGTGGGGAATAAAAAGTATTAATTTGTAGCTTCTTATGAAGGAAACGATATTTTTTGCATGTAATTACAAAGGATGGGGATTATTCGATGCAAGGGTTGGGAATTTTTAGATTTTAAAGGTTGAAAAACTGAAAGTCAAAAATTCCCCACAATTTGGGATCTCCAAAGTCAAGTTCCATTAGAATATTACTTAATATATTGCACAATAAGCTTCAGTTCATAACAAATATCATGAAAAACCCATTGCACGATTAATCTATCAATTTTAATTATTTCTTTTAAATTGAGCTTTTGATTGCTGAAATGTTCTAAGATGTCGTGCGCTTCATATGATTTTAGTTCCTGTACGAAGCATTTTGAAGCTAATTTGTAAAAAAAATCTTACGTGAATCAGAACTAGAGTGAATCATAACAAAGAATAACTAAATTCTTAAAATAATCCATGATGTGTTATGGAAGTGACCTACCCAAAAAAACTAATACCGGATGAATATATTAATTTGAAGATTTGTATTCATAATTATTAAGATTTTTAAGGTATTTACCCAACCTACGCTGCAACAGACAGTCTTGAGTCTTCTTTTGTGTTCGATAATCTGTTGATTCTCAAGCTAATCCTAAGTTCGGTAAGTTTAAAGGATTTTGAAATCATCTATCTTTGTGTAAGCCTTTCTAGAACCTTAGTCTAGAAATAGTCTAGCTTTAACTCTAGTGTGGACCTTATAGACCCATTTTTTACGTAACAGTCTAAGTGTAGACATCAAAAAATCCCAAGTTCCCATCCACTGACCCGCCATCACATCCCACAATCTTTATCATGCTCATTCAATATACTTAACAGCTTTTAAGCCTTCAATTTACACAGAAAATTACCGCTTACAAATAAAGATTTTTAATTAAGGATTAAGGGAGCAATAACTGTGAGTTTCATTTCGTTCTCACACATTTTACATGCTGCAACCTCGATCGATACAAAAGTACATTAAAAATGTAACATTGTTACATACGTTGACGTCTAAAAAACGTATTCGAGCATTCCTTTACACACTTCAATTTTAATTCAATCAAGCCTCTGATGCTTCATGCATTCTGATTCCTTTGGTATTTCTTCATTCTCGTTCATTTTGTTTTGATTTCCTTTTTGTGTGCCTTTTTTTTTTACTTTGTTACTCAAGTTTGGAATGAGACTTTATTCTGTACGCAACTTTAATTTGTAATTGCTTTTGGGGTTTGCTTCCTTTTATCTTCTTCGTTCTACCCAAAAAATAATGGATATTAAGGTACTCTAGACTCTGAAGATGGAACAAAAGTTAATTTTTTTGTTTGTGGGGATCGTGCATAAGTGATGTCTAAGTTTATTTTTGGGGTAGGGTT